GGGAATCTGGGGAAATGAGGGGATTCTGGTAAGGTTAGAGTACATCTGTCAGTGTTAAGGAAGGAGGCCTCTGTCAAACAGACAGGGATAAATAGTGGAGAGAGAGTAAATCTATTCAGCACAAACAGGACCTTTACCTAAGGTCATATTGCTGGATAACCTCCTGTCCTGATTCATACAGTGTTTGCACAGGAGTTGTTATACAAAGAAACCAGCTTTCAAAGAAAGATGACAGGGGACTGAATTCTTGAGGAAAATACTGTCTGTGTCCAGTAAGAAAAAATGAATTTATCATACAGTGTTTTGTTTTACAATGGAAACTTTTGTTTTCAGATGATTTGTCTGGCCAATGCAGATCTGAAGTCTTCAGCTTTGCTGTTACTGATCTCGACTTTACATCCTCTGCTTGCCACTCAGCTCTTGTTTTAGTCAGCGATGCTTCCCACTGTTGTCAGAGTTTTTTAACCTCATTAAGAGTGCTCTGTTGGTGTTCTCATTCTAAAAGGGGTCCAAAAATAAAGACCATTCTCTGTCATTCCATAAACAATGTTAATTGACTGGCTTTGCTGAAATTCAGGAATGTCAAGACTCATTCTCGGCTTTCAGAGCCACTCACTTTTGGTGGCTGACTGATATCAGTCAGTTTTAGGCAGTGCTGTAACCTGGTCTGTCTCTCCTTTCTCAGTGAATTCTGTCTGCTGGGCACCACATGACTATGGACTGATCCTGGCCTGCGGCAGCTCTGACGGGGCCATCTCCTTGTTGAGCTACACGGGAGATGGGCAGTGGGAAATCAAAAAGATCAGCAATGCACACACGGTGAGTCTGGTCCTTTGGAGCAGCAGAGTTCCAGGAGCTACAGATAATGCCGAGGGGATTGTTACCTCAAAGAACTTGACTAGATAAATACTGAAATACAGTGAAGTGAAACATCGAGAACCAAGAATAACCTGTTTGAAGTTCATCCAGAGTGGATAGGTATGCTTCGTAGTAACTAAAATGAAATGAAAAAAAGACAGGTGAAGGCTACGAAACAGCACTGGTAATGCCTGTTAATTGGGCATTATTGTTAAACACAGTGGTGAAATGGCCTTTGTCCTAAGAATAGCTGAACCAATTAACTGAATAAACTGAAGCCAAAAAAATTGCAGGGCATGTGTTTTTCCCAAAACAATGGGGATTTTTGCTTAAGCTAATGGCATGGCTCTCAATAGAAGGAAATTGGGCTCCAAACCAAAGCTTCCTTCTACTTCTGCATTCCAAAATCTTAGCAACTGTGTGTATCTTGTATCTGGGCAGTTTCTGTCTCTGTCTCCACTGTTCACACACCCAGGATGATATTTCCACATAAAGCAGTTCCTTACCTACCTCAGTCTTTCTGAGTAAGTGCCTTAGTGAGACTAGATTGTGTCTGGATTTCTTATTCATTTGATATCCATCCAGCATTGTGCAGAACCCCCATTTTCTGAGATGGGCTTATTCCCCACCCCCACAGACACTATGCTGCATTTCCTTCACCCCCTTAGCAGCCTTTATTTCTTTATTTGTTTAAAGTAAGCAACTTTTAATAGTAATATTTTTCATTACCTAGATTGGATGCAATGCAGTCAGCTGGGCTCCTGCTGTTGTACCAGGGAGCCTTATAGAACAACCCTCTGGTCAAAAGCCAAACTACGTCAAAAGATTTGCATCAGGGGGCTGCGACAACCTGGTCAAGATCTGGAAGTAAGTGCCCTGTTACCAAATAAAACCTGACACTCTTTCTAGGCTTTGAATGTCCCTTTTAGTATCTCAGGTAACACTTTCAGCTTGTCTATGCTTCTGTCTTTGAATTCCCATTTTTAGGAAGTGCTGTAGAAATGGAAACAACTTAGTGATGCACCATATCTCCCATGGTTTGCGCAGTCTGTGCCAGCCCTGTGTCATCTTGTCTCGGAGAGTGCCTTTCTGACGGTCTTTTGTTACCACTGTGACTTGGGCAGTAGCAGATTTCTGACAGTAACTGCCTGTGCTTTCTGCCCCCTGCAAGGAATTTTGTCACTTAAAGCCATAGAGATTTTTGGAGAACTGGGGAACACTTGTGCTTTGTGTTACCTGAATGGACCAGGAGTCTGACTACAAAGCCAGAACCTTCCAGAGCAGGGGATGAGAAATGCTGCTGCCACCCTTCTGACTATATAATTGTGTTTTCAGGGAAGAAGACAGTCAGTGGAAAGAGGAGCAGAAGCTGGAGGCTCACAGTGACTGGGTGCGAGACGTGGCCTGGGCTCCATCCATAGGTTTGCCAACCAGCACCATTGCCAGCTGCTCCCAGGTGAGGCTCCTGGAGCGCCAGGCAGGCTCTCAGTGCCCTTGCTGCTGTGAGGAATAGGAAGGGTAGAGCTGCTGTAACAGGTCCTCTTGGCAGTCCTTTGCTTTTTCTGGGCCAGTGCACAAGAGCCTTTCAATTCTGTTCCTTCCAGACTCAGAAACTCAGTAGAAGCATTTGTGGACAAAGGTTTCTGAGTGTGTGTGTCTGTAGCAAAGACTGGCTGCTATTTTGAACATCATGAGCAGGATGGTTTCAATAGCAGGAAGACCTTCAAACTAATGCCATTATTTTAGTGTTTTGGGACCAAATTCACTGAACCTCCAGCTGTTTTCTAATAATTGGCATCTATAGTCAGCTCTGTCATCCTCAGCCTTCATATTGACTGTGGTGTTCTTGCTGCTGCTAGTTCTATAAATGCTTTTTTTATTATGAAGACTGCTTAGTGAGCTGCTGCCATGTGACTGGAAAACAAAATCTCATTCTGGGGAAATATTTCAGCTGATATATAAGAATTTTGGGAGCTCTTCTCTGGTATTTGCAAGTCACTGTAGGTACTTTTTCTCATCAGAGCTGTAGTGCCTTGCCTTTAGCTATAGAAAGTAAACAGCCCCTTTGCTGTGCTGAGCACAAATCCATGCAGAGGTGTGATTTGGAAGTGGAGCTCCAAGGGCAATCAGGGTGGTGTTTCCTGTGTCCAGCCAACTCGACCTCTGTGCTTTTGCAGGATGGCAGAGTGTTCATCTGGACATGTGACGATGCCTCTGGAAACTCCTGGTCACCAAAGCTTCTGCACAAGTTCAATGATGTTGTCTGGCATGTGAGCTGGTCCATCACTGCCAATATCCTTGCAGTGTCTGGAGGAGACAACAAAGTGAGTACTGGTGCCGTGACTCTTACTGTGCGTGCCCTGTTTCCAGAGGAGCAGGGACAGGCTGTTGTCACTTGTTTAAGACAAGGCTGTCATAGAGTCTTCTTTGCTGCAGTGGTGACGTTTTTAATTATCAAGAGGGCAGGAAGAACGTAACCTCTGGCAAACCATTTGCCTGCATTCTGAGTTCTTACTGGGAAGCAGAAATGAAGGCTGAACTTGATTTTGTGGGGTACTGCCAGCAGAATTCAGCAGTGCTGTGGTGGCTGCGAGGAAGGGGGAAGCTGAGAGTGTGTTAAGGCTGAAAGCTGTGCCTGCTCTGTTTTTGAGGTGACGCTGTGGAAGGAGTCGGTGGATGGACTGTGGGCGTGTATCAGCGACGTGAACAAGGGCCAAGGAGGGGTGTCTGCTGTGACTGAGGGGCAGCAGAACGAGCAGTGATGCGTGAGGGAGTGCTCCAGCTGCAGCGAGAGATCCCTGTCCCTGATTTGCAATGGTTCTTGAGCTGGATGAGAACTGAATTTATCTAAACTGAACATGGGAAACAATTATCCAATTTCATGAGCACTCTAAAGCTATTACTGGGAGGCTACAAAATTTTGATAATCAGCCTTAATTGACATTCCCTTAAATTTAAAGAGCATAGCAAAGTACTGTGCCTGATACTACTCCTTGACGCTGTAGGAATTATACCCTGCTTTTCTGGTTTAAGGATCAAATTTGATTGGATGTGCAGTGGTCAGACTTCAAGCATTTGAGCAGGAACAGGAGGAGACTGTCAAAGGTGTGAGGTGTGAACTCCTTTGTGCAAAGGGACAAATACTCTGTGCCCTCAAAGGCCAGAACTTTGTTCCCAGTGAGGGGAAGGGCTGGTGGAGTTCTGGGGTTAGCTGGTAGTGTGCTAGCCAGCCCTGCTGGTAGCAGCAAAACGGTGCTAAGATCTTCCTGAAAATAACATGCTTGGCTAAGTGGAAGTCTCTGTGCTTTCCTGAAGATGAAAAGGAGTAGTGGAATGCATATGTCTTCTGCTTTACAATGGTCTCAAACTTGGTTATTTTACTAAGATCAGTAAATCAAACCATGGTTTGAAGATTTTTTTTCAGCCACATGTCTGTACTGTACCTCAGGTTTGTTTTTTTTTTTTTCCTGTTTTGAGATACCAACAGAATAAAGTCCTATTGGTTATAGCCTGGTGTGCTGTATTTAATCATCTTTTCACTGGGCCCCTTATGAAAAGTAAAACTTGTCTTTTTCCACTAGTTTTATTATTCATTGTGAAAAATGAAATAAGGTGACTAACTGAGCTACAGTCAACCTAGTTCTTATAGAATAATATCAAATTAAGAAAATACAATCAAGAGTCCCTCCAAATAAGCAGCTATTATTTTATAATGCCTTTAAGTGTTCAATTCCTTATGGATTAGGTAAGTAGAAAATATTCTGGGTTTTGTTTTTTAGGTTTTTTTGTAGGTAGGTGGTTTTTTGTTCTTGTTGTTTTGGGGGGTTTGGTGGAGTCTTTTTGTTTGTGGGGTGTTTTCCCCGCTGTAGTGGTACATCACAAGGCTGGGTTTTACAAAACTGCAGCTCTTCCTTTGGTCTTGGCACTTCCAAGGGAGAATGTAAATAGTGCCAACTTCCCTCTTCTGCTCTTACAACTTTGTTCATCCTAAGGGAAGGAAGAAGAGCACGAACCCATTGCTACACTTCAAAGTTATTTTTAAACCCTCCATTAGCCGGTGTGTGGAGCAGGACCTCGTTGCTGACTGGCACTCATTTTCTGTGCCATAAATCACAAAAAAGCAGGCAGTTAAAGAAATATTTTTTTCATTTTTTTATTCACAATGCTATTAGCAAATAGTAATGTACAAACTTGCCTCTGAATAGCCAAGTTATGTAACTGTATGAATGTAAGACCATGCACTGTCATATATGTTACATTAAATACTTGTGTAACTCTACAAGACCCTGTATATCACCTCAGAATATTTAAAAATTAGCATGGAACAAGGCAAAGAATAACAAAGTAGATGACTACAAGAGAACAAAACCTCTAAAGCACTTTTGTGAAACAGAGCTGTGTAGGTTTCTCAGTTTAAAACTCTCGGGTTTCCCATTCAGCTCTGTGGTGTGTCCACGGGCATTCCTTCCTGAAGGAGGCCCGAGGCTTCTACCATGGATTCCCAGAATGTACCCATGAAAAACAAGGAATATTACATTTTCAGCAGCATAAAGTATCTCAAATATATAGAATTCAGCGGTTATTGACCAATCTGAGTCTATTCAATGTTTCTTACATCAGTATTAATGTTGTCTTGATTTGATTCTGGTAAAATTAAAAAAAAAATCTCACACTGGCAAACACATAGACAGTATCCAAGGCACTTATAATTAAGGGATTTTACCAGTTTTTACTGTAGAAATTTGATAAGTATGATTTTAATACTCTAGTTAAAATACTTTTACTTGCTCATACTCATACATAAAATGAACAAGGTACTCTACAAAAATAGAAGGTATGAGGCCCTCATGTAAAGCCAGGAAAATATACTGTTATAGAATTCCAATGAGAATAATTACATATAGTTAATGTATAATTTTTTAAAATATTCTCTGAATTGCACTGTGAATTGTAGCCATTTCTGCACATCATGCCCTAGTCCCTGTGCTCAGGAGGCAGCAGTCTCCTGTCTGCAAGCTGGGCTACATGCTTTGATAGTTCTTTTGGTTTATAATAAATCAGTATTTCCCTAGCCTGCATGTGAGTGGAATATGCTAGCAACAGCACAAATAATAAATATCATAAAAATAAAAGTGACACTTGCTTAAGGGGCCTTTCACTTGATCATAAATACACCAGCATGCAAGCTTCTATTTTTTCTCTTGCACGTGATCCCCGAGGCTGAGCCCGAGGTGCCACTGCTGGGAGAGCCAAGGGATACCCACAAGGACTCCTCTGAGAACACATGGTGAGTGTGGAACCATCAGCAGGTCCCATTACTAGCTTATCTTTGACCCATTGCCAAAATAAATACAACAAATTATATTTCAAGTGTCCTATAACAAAATTAAAGACATTTTAATATACAACAGTATAATGTGAAACACAACGAGAAACCTTAACAACATATAAAGGACACTTAGAAAAAAATAATTCCCAAAAGCATTCCTCTGAAGAATTAAACAGAGGTTCAAGAATTAAACAACCGTCTCAGAGGTGCTGACAGTGACCTGAAAGGCTGGTCTCACGTGGTGTCACCTGCGTGTAGGAGGCGCTCCCAGAGCAGAGGAACGTGGCTGAAGTCATTTACCTGCCTCTGTGCTCAGTGCAGTTCCAGCTGGGATGAAGCTGTGTACAGCACATCTGAGAACTTGCATGAGAATCCCCCTCTCTGGTAATGCAGTGTTCTGAGTATGTGCGCTAAGATCAGATGGAATAGGAGAGATTCACTGGAAAACTTCCCCCATGGCTCCAAGGATTCCTGTTTGCTGTATGCAGGGGGATAACAACATAGGGCATTGCTGGCTGGCTGCTGGTCAGTGCTTGCTCTGTAACTCCTGGGACTGTGGCTTAATGAGACAAACATTATCTGGAGATGTTTTCTGAAACACTGCAAAAGGATTGTAAACTATCTTGGCACTTGTTTGCGTTTGCCATTCCTTTTCACATTTCAGATGAAAAGGCAGAAGGAATTTCTGTGTGCAGAGTGGCACTGTTCTTTAATCTGCTTTTCTGCTGCTTCTCTGTGTGATCACTTGTTTCCTTCACTCAGGGCTGATGTTTTTGATCCAAATCTGCTACTTAATCTTACATTAAAAGCATATTTTTACCATCTTTCTAATGAAGAGACAGTCCTTATTTCTTCTTTTAAGCTGGCCACTGCTAATAAATCCAGCCAATTTATGATTCAAAAAGTTCAGAACTGTTTAACTTGTCTTCTTCATACAGCAAAATGTTTTCCATGAGCTTCTTTTTTTGATCATTTATCTGTATTTTCCAAGATGTCTCTCTGGCTAAGGCTGAAAAACAAAACGCCCAAATACTGAGAAAAAAAATTCCATCTATTGTCTAAGGAATAGGTGATAACTCTAAAATAAAAAAAAACAACCAACCAAACTAGCTTAGGAAAAATATCTGATAGAAACCCACAAAACATTGTGTAGATTTACTGGTAAATTCATACTCAAGGAGAAAAGATGAAATGTTTATAAGTAGGAAGAAGAACCTAAGCAATACTGGAGAAGAAAGTAATTTGTCCCTGCTCTCACACCATCAGGGCACCTTTACCTTGTGAAGCACAGGAGGAGTCCAGGCTGCCCTGGGCACAGGTGCCCTGTGCAGCAGCTGCGGTCTCTGGGATGCCGCCGCCTCTGGCACACGCCGCGTTCCTCTCCTGCAGTCCGTTGGCAGATTTCTCCTGCTTGACCCTGTAACCAGAGCCTGACACTTTTTCTGAAGTGGTACAGCTGTGGCTGGGTAGCTCCTTCGTGGATTTTTCTGTAGGGTTCCATATGAAACTGCTGGACTCATCTGACTCACAGGGGACCCGTGACGTGTGTCCGCAGTAGGTGTCGGGTGCCGCGGCTCCCATGGGAGGGGCGCAGGGGCTGGTGCTGGACAGGATCACTGCCTGGGCACTCTCCTCTTTGTTCCCCACTGCAGAAGGCACATCCATGCTCAGACTGGCAGTCTCATCATCAGTTTCTTCTGGAGTGTTCATGGAGAAGCCAGAAGTGCTGCTTCCACAGATGTAATGCTCTCTTAATTTATTTTCAGCCATTTCCATAACTTCAAGCACCTGTTTTTAACAACCATATCTGTGAATGCAGAATAATTCCTGTACCCCTGCTTACACATACTCTCCTACATCAGCACTCCCAAAAATAAGTAAGGCACGAATGCTGTCATCTCCTCGATGACAAGGAGACTGAAATGTTGCTCGTGTATTAATAATATTACCTCTGCTATGTTAGAACTCTTCTTTCTCAGGCAAAGGCAGATGGCTGAGGCAAAAGCAACTGCAACCTCTTCTGGCAAGTGTCCTGCTTTCCTGTCTAGGTATTTGCAGCAGATTTCATTGGCAGCCAGTTTTTCCAAAGTTTTTACTTTGGAGTGTGAGCTTTCTTTCGCTGTTTGAATTTCATCAGCAATCATATCTTTCTGTTCAAAGGAAGGAGATGCATTAGTGAAGGCAAAATTAACACAAGCATTTATTTCAGCCTCAATCTCTGAGAACGAGTATTGCCATGTTTGTCATTAGTGCTCCTCAATGGCTGGTTCACAGACTGAAAAGGCTGAAGAATCTCCATTCATGCAGCTGACAGAAATGTTTGTTCTCACTGGAGAGAAAAGGGCAGAAGCTTTCTCTGTGTGTCCAATGTCAAATTCCCTAAAGCAGGCCCAGCTCCTCTCGGCTCGTGCCCCTTTACAGATAGGGATGAAAAAGAGCCAACACTTGTAGAGTAGCATTCTTGCACAGGCCTTTATAATGTGTTAAAGAAATCAAAGATGTAGAATCTTTGATTTTCTGAACCCCTTTGAACGCTGCTGAATTGCTTGGCAATGGTAAGTGATAGAACTGTTGTTCTCCCCTCCAAGGCTTCAGCCAGATGGGAAATCAGAGCACATCCCACAGAAGGAATGCAGGTGGAGGCTGCTCTTTGCAGACAGTGTCAATGGATTCAGTGAGCCTGGCTGTTCTGGTTGCTTGTGAAAGTAGAATGTGTACCTGTAACTTCAGCTTGGGAAACATGCCAGGTTATCAAACACCCAATAAACACGATGATGAGCATCTGCAGTTCTCACCTAGCCAGGTTTCCCCACTCAGTGTGGCTCAGACCACCTCTTGCTGGCACACAGAAAACATGCAGGAGCATTTCAGCACAAGGCCTTGTCTCTCAAATAAGCATGGATTTATTCTGGAGTCTCTCCTAATACAATCAGGCCAGCACTCAGGAGTGTGCTGTGTGAAATGGGAATATCTCTTCTGCCTCTGTAAAGGCAGGCAGGCTACTGACATTAACAGAGCCTGGATATGGCTCCTAAACATCCCTTCTTCAGGACATGGTACAGCAGATGGCAAATATCAAACTGTATTTAAATAAAATTCATTTTAAGACAGCAACCCCATTCACTTGTGTTGGTGTTCACTATTCCTGCTGCTTCTTACCAGATAAATCGTGTGTCTGCTTTCATCCAGCGCCTTCAGCCCCGACAGTACCTCTGCTAAGACCTAGAAAGTGTATTTGAAAGATAAACCAGTTTGTTCAGAATGAATTACAATTTTAAGAACTAGCTTTGTAACTAAAGTAATATTGAACTGCCAAGGCATTTTGATATTCTATTTTCACTTCAGATGACTTAACAATGCCAGCTCTGGGCATTCATGAGACTTTAGATCTACCTCCAGAGCCAAGTCCAGATTTTATAGTCAGGTACAATAGATACTGTTGATACAAAGGATGAGAAGAAAGTCAAGCTAAATGTAGATAAGAAATCACACTGAACAGAGTAACTTCTTATTTAAATGAAGCACCTGGAGACAGGTGACATCACAGACTATCAGTTATTTTTGTTGAAATTCCGGATTGCAGGTGGTTGTAGCAGCTCATGGCAATTCTGCAAGAATTCTGAGAACTTAACTTTTTATAAACAATCAGCACTAATATTCTCTTTTTGCAAAAAGAAACACTTGTCTGTTGTTCAAAAGATTCACCTCACTTTGCCACAAACTGAAGTATATTTGGAGTGTGAACGTAATTAAAAACAGGATTTCAACACATTCTAGAGCCAGTAGCTACAATATAAAATTGCCAGCAAAACAATGACATGAAGGCACTTGTTCTTATATCCAATTTCCTGTCTAGAGGCACCGAAGAATGCAATAGAGCATGGAAAAAGGAACCATACCACACCACAGCTGAATATATCCACTTTTTCTGTTAACTTCCCATGTCTGATAAAATCTTCTGGCAGGTAAGTAAGAGAAGCTTGTAAGACTTTGGTTTTCATCACAGCATATTCTGATTTTTTATCAGCAGAATGCAATCGCAGGCCAGAATGTCCAAGCTTTGGTGTAAAGTTTTCATCCAACAAGACATTTGAGCTGTGGTAAGGACAGACAACAGTACTGGTCAAGTCATTACTTTAACTTGAGGCAAAGAATTAGTTTTACACTTTTGAAGTTAAGCACTGAAAGTGTCCAGCATTTTGCCTGCTGCGTAGGAGTGGAAGGGCAGAGAATGGTAGAAAGGAAGAAGGGAAAGAACAAGCACTCAAAAAATTACTTCAAAAGAATATACTTCCATCACTTTAGGAAGGAGAGACAGGTTAAACAAATAAGGATAAAGGCCCTACAGAACAAAAGACAGCAGAAAATACTACATATGGATATCCAAATTGCATGAGTTTTAGCCATTACTATTAAAGAAATCCTGGAATTATCAAGTGACCAAGGAAGTGCTGACATGCCAAACCCCTCACCTTTTGATATTCCCATGAAGAATTCCAAAATTATGTAAATACTCCACAGCTCGGATGACTCCTACAGAAATGCTAATTCGCATCTCCCAGGTCAGTGGAGCATAATCATCCTGCAAGGAAGGGAGACAAAAAAATCTTTATTTTATAGAATAAAACATTGGTAGTTTTGAAAACCAAAGGTTTAGTCTAGAGTCCCAATCAGAACTCCAGGAGAGAGCTGCAGCCTTTCTGGTACTTGCAGTCAAGGTATTTGGGCACCCTTTTTTTCTGGCTGTTTCTCAAAATCCAAAGAGATGAGATTGGCTTTCAGGCAATAGCAGGGCAGGACTCGCAATCACAGGTAGATCACAGACCCAGATCATTGCTTACGTGGCACTGGAGCTTGTTTTGCAGGGAGCCATTGGACAGGTATGGGTATATCAGACAGTGCAATCCAGTTTCCACCGAGAAGCCCAGCAGCTGCAGAATGTTGATGTGACAGCACCTGCAGGCAATGATTTACAAATGAAATACGAGCAACACAGAAAATACATCCCTGAGCTGGACTAAGTTCCTAAATTCAGTGCAACTGCAATGGTGTGCTGCAGCTGGCAGCAGAGCTGGCAGCACAGCTGGGCCCCCAGCAGGATGGCAGAGCCGTGGCTGAGCAGGAGCCCGGGGCAGCGCAGCCCTGTCACAAGCAGACAGCAGGGCCATGGAGGGGGCACCACGCCCTCCCCACCCCAAGGGCTGCAGAGAGGCTGTGCCAGCGCAGCCAGGGCCGGCAGCAGCCCCAGGGGCCAGGCTGCTTGCCCAGAGCTCCTGTGAGGCAGTGCCCCAGCCCTCATCCCAGCACAGAGCCCACAGACAGACACCCAGGGCTGACTGAACACCTGCCAGGACCAGGACAGGCACCACTGCCCCTGAAAGACAACCACTCACCGAAAGCAAATCTGCACTTCCGTGTGAAAGAACCTCTGGGTGGAATCTGGGCTTGTGCATTCCAGCTGAAAAATGAGAACATGCAAGACGTCAGTCATAACTAACAAGGTTCTGCATTTATACAGATCTGTGTGCCTTGCTGATGAGCTACTGCAGGAAACAGGCTAGTACCACTCATGGCAGTGTTGAGTCAAAGGATTCAATTAATTGAGAATTAAAAAAAAAACCATTGTAAAGACACCCCTGATGCAATCATCAGTGCAGGTTACTCCAATGGATAGAGTTAAATATCCATCACATGTGTTTGCTGGATCTAGGTTTACTTATTTACATCATTTCCTTTTTATCTCTCCTCTTGTGTAGCCATTCCAGTTCCTTGCCCACACAAAATTAAACAATGACTGCTAATGGTCAAGAGATGCTAATAACATGTCCCCTTCTAGAAAAAGGTGCAGTACTTGCCTCTTTCAGTCTTTTGATGGCATACAGTACGTTGTTCCTCTGACCTTGGTAGACATCTGCAAAAGTACCTTCACAGATTCTGTTCTTGTCACTGAAACCGTTCGTGGCATCAGCAACTTCCTTCTGGGCCCACAGGAGACTCCCGCTGGGGAGATCAGCCATTGTCTCCTGCTGAGGAGTAGAAGAGCTGCAAGGCTACACATTTGTAGAAGAAACAAGTTTATCTATCTCATGAAAATCTGCATGCTTTTTCCTTCTTTCATGTGTCATATTTTCTTTTCCATGATTTAAGCAATCACTGTGATTGCTGAATGAAACTGAAAGGTACTGTGCAATCACCCCTTAGGGTGTAGATAATACATAATGTTGTTATGATGTAAAAATTTTGCATTTAGAAGCGACTTGAAATCACTTACCAATTTGCATTTCCACCTTTCCCAAAAAAGAGACTCAGTTTTGTTTAAATCACATATTTATGTGATATTAGCTTAAGATACACAATATAGTAATCTTTATGGCTGAGAGACAGTAGGATAAGAAAGTGGTGTCCCTCATAATGTATTTATGCTCTGGGAGGAACTTCACATTTACTTCTGGAGCACCTGGCATCAGTTTCACAATAATTTTTTGCTTCCAGTGTGGCAAGTCCTAATACCAATTGTAATTAGAGTTCCACTGTAGCCTAATCATGCAAGTTTCACAACCTTAATCTGCACAGGACTTGAGGAAACAAAGCATTAACTCTTTCTCAAGAAACCCTGAAACTACTGTGCTCTTTGAGGTAATCTGCTCTCCTGGCTGGTACTCCTGAACCATGTTATTGTGGAAGAGTTTAAGGCCTCAAACAAAATAAACCACAGAAAGCAGGCCAAGAACAACTCTGATGGAAGCAGTGTGCCCACAGATCTGGGAAACACCCTGAGGACAGGACAGATCTAACTAGACAGTCTGAAAGACAGGAGAGCTGTGGGGAGGCAGGAACAGGAAATGTGTGCTGAAATCATTAGGAAGATGAGGAAAACATTACCCACAGAAATGGTTAAGCACTGGAACAGAGGCTCAGAAAGGTGATGAACCTCCATAGATTTTCAGCTGTCAGTTACACAAGGCTCCGGATAGCAACACTTAAATTCAATTGTAGCCCAGTTTTGAGCAGAAACCACATTTTAAGTATAAAATGAAACTAAAAGATGTATGCAGTTCTGACTGGTCAATGGTGTCTACTGTCCTAACCTGTGGTCACACCAGAAATGGTAAATTCTCTGTAAAATCTACACTGGAGAGCTCTTCAAACTCAATTGTTATTTGTGGGCATGTTAGCCCTTCCAAGCTATGCAGTATGCAATGCTGTACATTTTTGCCTCCCTGGTCCTTCACTGGCAAAAAGAGATGTAAACCATAAGCAATGGTTTACAAGTCCAATTGAAGCATTAGTACTGTATTCAGTCCAAACCCACTGTAATTGAGTCCCACATTTTCACCAGGTCTATGGCTTTTTGTACAAGTAGAGGGATAAACTGTTTTAACTAAAAAAACACAGGATGTCATAAAAGCAATTTTCCTTCTTATAGTCAAAGAGTACTAAGGGGATTTACCTTTACACTTGATGAGACAGGAGGACTGGATTGCAGGGAATTCAAAAGGTCTCTTGGGGGAGGTGGTGGAGCAGGGAGGGAATACAAGGCTCCTTCGGAAACAGCACCTGAAACTGAAATAACAGCATTGAAAATACACCTTATTTTTGTAATACCACAGCCTGTGACTAACTATAAAGGTCTGGGAATCATGAAGGTCTGGGGTATTTTGTTAAAGTTCCTGACCAGGGATAATCTCTGACAAGCTGTGAGATGCTGTGTAAAGACAGGGAGCTCTCTGTGTCTGTGCTATTGCAGGTGTTCTCCTACCTTCTTTCTCCTTCCCTCTCCCATGCAGAGGGGCTGCTGACCCCTGCCTGGTTCCCTGCTGGCCTAGATTTACTGTGCACAGAGAGAGGAACACGGGGCAGGAAATGCATGCACTGGTCTAGTCTTAGCAGGGAGCCAGGATGGGACCACGGTGGTCAGACACCTGGGATCCTGAGATCCCAGGGGACAGACACAGCCAGCATCCCTCAAGGCCAAAGGAGCTATAGGAAGGAGGACCAGGAAGCGGTGTGCTAAAGTCGGGAATAAACAGGATACAGCAGTGCTAGGAGAAAGGCAAACACTGCAGAGTGACCACTGTGGAGCTCAGTGTCCGATCCTGATGGCGAACACGCAGCAGCCTCGGCCATGCAGTCATTTCTTGTGAGAGCAAGTTCAGGGTCTGGGACTGTACTTACTGCCTGCTGAGTCTGGTGATGGCAACACGCTTATCTCGCTTTCTTTCTCTCTCCTTCTCCCTTCTGTGGGAGGTACAGATGTGATCTCCTGGCTGGGGGGCCCTACTGGCTCCTTTTTCTCAGGGCTGGTAACGTTAGAGGCAGATATCCCTTCAAAACAGAGCAAAGGCAAGATGAGGAAATACTTTCCTATACAAAACTATTTGCAATGAAGACTCATGCTTTTACTTATGGAACAGAAAGAAACAAACCAGAGACAATCTAGGAAAAACATAAAATTGGTCAAAGCTCAAGACTTACTGGTATCTAAGGGAAAATTAAAGGCTGAATTATCATTTCATTACAACTCTAACAGATCCTGTGCTGTGCACAGCTCGGCAAAATCTGAGAGTCGGGCCTGAAAAAGCAACTTGAAGTAAGGTTGAAAGAACTACAAAGATGCTTTTGGTGTGCACAGACTGGAAAAACATGTATATCTGAGGGAGAATTATTCAAATGAGATTAGGCTACAGTTAGGATAGGAACAAAATAAAGTACAAAAGTTCAAGAAACTGATATAGGAGGCTGTCAGAAACTCCTGAAGAAGCATGTGAATTCTTATCTGTAAATACATTTAAAACTGAGTTTGAAAAGGACCTTGAAAATGCCCTGTGTGTACTAGGGGTGATATAAGGCCTTTCTACTCCCTGAGAACAACATTTTCCTGGTTGTAGCTCTAAACTTCTGTTTCTACCGGGCACCTTTTATCAGCAATACATTCAGCATTTTCTTAAAAATCAAAATGAATGTTTTATTTTTACATAAAAGAAAATAAGCCCAAGTATTATTACATGGGGTTTTTGTCCTGTTGCTCTACCAGCTTTGTATCTTTAGCACAGTGGTGATCTCAGAATCAAAGGCACCAGACCTCTGTTTGCATCTGAAATCAGGTAACAGCTCTGTGTTGGTTTGTACAAACAAAGCCCAGGGATTATCTGCAATGAGCAGGAAGCTGTGTGTTTGATGTGTGATCTGGGCTACTTGTATGAACCAAGAGTCAATGAATTGTGTGAGAGAAGCCAAGCCATGGCAGGTTCAGGCACTGAGGCTCAGGAGCAGCAGTACCTCAAGACCACTAATGGTAGAAATGGGCATGTTCTGTTTGGGGTTTGTATCCACTTTCTTTAATGCCACCTATGAATTCAGGTTTGAAACTAGGTCTGAAAATTAAAACTTGGAACACTCAGGTATGTTTTTTACTGTGCTAGAATGCTATGAAATCCCAAATTTACACATTTTGTAAATTAGTCATTGAGCAGTCTGCAGGCCTTTAGTTAAAACTAACAGTTGTTGGCATTTTCCTCCTGTAGTTTAACCTAGAAGTCTCAGAAGTTAGAATCTCTTCCCTCATTCAACCTACTTTTCAGGGTTTTTCATGACTTTTGCAACTTCCTGCACACCGGATAAACAGGGCAGCACTGCAGCTAAAGAACTGATGTAGAAAAAAAATTATTATGGTCATTCAGAAGTGAGACTAGAGAGTGGAAGAAACTATTGAACAGAGATAAAACTCTTTGGGAAGTAATCTTCCAGTGAAACATCTCCCTGTGCACTCTGTCTGATTCCTTTAAGTTGGAATGGAATTACGGTGATGTAAGGACCACTTATGTTTTCTAAAGTGCCCAACAGAACAAGCAATGCATCAGTTCCAGAGGGATCATATGAATAAGTATATTCAGATACAGAGAAAAAAGCAGAAATAGTAGGTAAAAACTTTAAAGATTGGTCTAAACCCCTGGAAATCACTTCTGCTTATGAGTAAGCACATAGTGAAATGCTCATAATGGGTTAATTCCAGAAAAATTAACCACTTCTGCATGGCAGAACCACAAAATAATCCAGACTTCCTGCCACTTACATCAACATGACGTTTTGCTATGGACCTAAATATAAAAGACAACAGTAAGAAGCTTTTAAAAAACAAATTTCATTGTACTTTTGCAATTTGTTTCATTTGAATTGATCTGGGACAAAATTAATATTGATCATCAAGAATCATAACTAAAAAGTGAGCACAGGATTTTTCTCTTCCATCCACTTTTAAACCCCCTTTATCGAGTCTTCATGTTGCTTTACAGAACCCAGGGTCAAAACCAAAGTCACCTGGTCACTCCTGCAGCTACAGAGCAGCCCAATGTCCAGCTCGCCCGTTGTCACACAGGTCTGGTAAGTTTATCACAGCAGTTCAGCAGCTCAGTGAGCTCAACGGAGGATGCCCATTCTTGCCATGATCTCTCAGTATTTACACTGCCTGCTCACTGTCTAGCCCACAGATATCATTACAAACATCTCTGTTTACTTGCATCAGCCAAGTGCAGTTTTGAGAAGCCAAGCTTTTCCTTAGGAATCCCAAAGCGTACTCCTCCAGCCTGGAGGAATTTGATTGAGTTTTATTTTTAACAGGGAAAAACACTCAGTTTTTGCAGCTTGTGGCAACTGAAGTGCAAAAAATCTCAGAAATATTTTTGAGAAAGCTCAAAAAAAGAAGAAAAGGTAACTGACAGCAGCAGAAGAGAAACCCTGTGGTTCCTGTGCCAGGGGCACCTTGCGCAAGCGATGGCAATACTGACACACCACAGGGAGCAAACCAGGCAGATCAGAGGGGGATGGTGTTTCTCTGCAGGGATGATGATCATTTTTGTCTGGGTTGTGCCTCTGCTTTTCATGGCCAATTGCTGGAAGCTGCTCTTGTATTGGAAGCCTGACTCTGCATTTTACATCACCAGAGAGGCCAATCATACCTGGGCCTTAGCAGGGGCTGTAAAGTGCTGCCTCCCAGGATGTGACCCAGTGCCACAGGACCTTCTGTGTAGCCTCTGTGTTCTGAAACCCTGCCTGATGCTTAAAAGACCCAGACCAGGTTTGGGCACAGCCTGTCTCCCTGGCACCTCTCTAAGGGTCCAAGATGGGCACTGCGAAGGTGGGGTGATGAACTGGGGGGACCACTGAGTCCTCCTGTGTCACCTCTTCCCTCCTACCACCAATTTTACTTAGAGAGAAGAAAATCACAATCAGTGGAGATATTTTAGAATTTGAGGATGTGACTTCCAACAAAAAGTTTCTTCAGCTAGCAAGGGAGATGTCCTTGGGGGGGAGGCTGGATGCTGTGAGGAGCAGCTGAGACCTGCAGGAGAAAGGGACAGCTACTCACAGTCCAGGATGACCTGAGCTGCTCGGTAGAGCTGCAGCCCTTGCAGCAGGTCCAGGAGCTGCTGCACTGTTGCCAGCCTCACTCCCCACCACCACATCAGCTCCCTTGTGATGCTGATCCCTGTCTTCTCCATGCACTTGATTTTCCGTAGCTCTGTTTGATCAGTGATCACATAGGAGGCTGGTGGGAGAGAACAGATATTGCTGTTAAAAAAATAGAAAAAACGAGCAGGGCAAGCAAGTAAACAAGTATGTTCACTTTTGCATTTGCACAGTTTTAAACTGAAGGATCACAATAAATGAGCTATGTGGGCATGAAGAAAATTCTGTTCTAAAGTAAGATATCCCTTTTCTTCCTTCTACTATTCTGGAAAAAATGTTGTTGTATCATAGACACTCAAAAAAACCCCAGTCACACTTTTCAGCATATTTTCCCTGTAATCTTCTTTCTCCTTAATACTTTGTGTACCAAAGTAAGTTCAGATTAAATTCCTGGGGTGATTCTCCCAAATCAGGTGACAGCAGTCAGTGGTGTGGCTGCACTCTTGCCTGCATTCCTAAATCCCAGTGCTGTGGTGAGCCAAACAGTAGCTGAATCACCTGGGTGTTGGTTACGTGCTGATAAAGCTATCAGGGAAACACAGGCATTTTCAGAAGCAGGAGATCCCATGCCAAGGCTGACCCTACCATGCACATGCTGGTCACCTCCTGTGCTCCTCCCATCTCGCTTTCCCACACGAAACCCACCTCCCCTCACATCAGTCCGCTCCATCCCACACCCGCGGCCACAGCCCCGGGGCTGCAGTCTCAGAGGGGCTGTGCCCGAACGAGAGGGGTCGAGGGCTGTGCTGTGCGTGTGGAGACAAAGACTCCCGAGTTCCCACCCCAGCTGGTTTCAGAAGGACGTCAGAAATACACTTTTATACATCTGAAAGTAGTGGAGATGGAGCCCACCCTACATGAAGAAGATTAACTGGGGTAAGAGCTTATTCAGCAGACAGTTAGGAAGTCTTGAACGAAAATCACGTCAAATAAAGGAAGGTATGCACTAAGAAAAGATTTGGGTTAGAATTGTCTGGACTGGGATACAGACAAAAACCAACCAACCAAACAAACAAACAAAAAAAGCAAACACAAAACAACCAACTCGGACTACATTTTCTGTACTTTTTGACTGGACATGGCCAGGACCAAGAAAAATAGGGACAGAAAGTATGAGTAGATAAATAAAGTATACATGAAGAGAAGGGAAAAAAATAAAACCCAGAACATCTCAGCAGATGTGAAGGATGTTGCAAAACAGGCAGTGAGAAGTGGCAGGAGTTGCAGCGTGACTGGAGAGCGACGGAAGGAGCCTGGCTGCCCGAAAGAAGCCAAGGGAACACGGAAATCTGGAATTCCACGTTTGTTTGAAAAACAAAAAACCAGACTGGTGCCCGGGAATTCCCTGTGCCCAGGACGTGCTCTGCCGAGCGCTGGGAAGGGCTCGGCCGTGGGGTCCCAAAAGCGCTGCTGCCCCCATTCCCCGCCGCCAGCCCCCGTGCCCTCACCGAACCGCATCCAGTCGTAGTCGCTCAGGCAGTCCATCTTCTGGCAGAAGTCCTCCAGCACCCAGGCGGGCATGCTGTGGATGTACAGCGCCGGGGCCGAGCCCGGCCTGAGGGCGGGGGGCGGCGGCTGCAGGGCCATGGCTCCCGCTCCGCGGGGGCTCCGCGGCCCGCTCGGCGCTGTCAGCGGCGGCCGCGCATGGTGCGGGCCCGGGCTCGCCGCTCTCGGCCTCCTCTGCGAGCTACGGAGGCGGATTTTCTCCCGGAGCTTCCTCTTCTCCGAGGACCTGCCCTCCCGGCCCGTCCCAGCCCGGCTGCGGGGGAAGGGCCAGCGGCACAACCAGCGATGCCCGGCAGGCTCGGAGCGCAGCGCCGCTTCCTGCTCCGCCTGACGTCAGGCCCAGGTGCTCATCACATCTTCCTTTCCGTGGGTGGTTATTGCTCCAGCCTGGTTGCCAAAGGACGAGTTTCACGTGACGGAGGCCAGAGAGGGGTTCCCGAGAGCTACAGCCACGCTCCCCCGCGGGCAGCGAGACAAAGATCTCACGAGGGCTGAGAGAGAAACAGCCACCACCAGAAAGGGCACTAGAAGCGCCAGAGCTGATCCCACGCAGGGATCCTGCTCCCAGCGTCTTCCAGCACTGCAGCACACAGGAGCTCACTCATTAAGACGTGGTACCATAGCAGATGCAGGGAGTGAGAAATAAAAAACATCAGAAGTGGTCAGAGGGCCAGGTCTTGCTTGTCAAGGATTAGGTTTAAAGTATGTTCTTAAAGTTGGCAATTTTTCTAAATTTTTGTATTTAATCTGCTTTTGATTAAAATGTCTAATTAATTAATTAGCCAGTGTAATTGCTACAAATACTTCTGGCAAAACAATCTACCAGGAGAGCCTTCCTGCTGTACCTCTGCTACCACAGAGTGCCCGTAACACCTAACTGAAACAATCCCTCTTTCTGTTCCTGTTGCTCGTGTTTAGCCCTAGGTCTAAATTTAAATGAATTGAAATCAGTGCTCTAAGTTTTGAGAGCTTTTAATTTACTATTTCTTTGTACTCTGCATATGCATAACAGTACAACTAACTCTTGCTTTCGGTATCAAACCTTCAAACTTTGACAATCCTTTTTAGTTCTGGCCTGAGAAATCATGAACCTCTCAAATACCACTGAAGTAACAATGAATCTCTTAGCCCCTCAGTAGCAAGGATAAGTGGATATTGATAGAGCTAGAAGGTCAAAAGACAGAAAAAAACCTAAACAAAAGTATCCGAAGTGTATTATTATTTAAAATATGACAACTCAAAGACTGCCTTGAGATGAGCTGTTTTAGCAGCAGTACCAGTTCAACAGTAATAGTTGCATTTATGGGGTTTTTCCCTCCCTTTTCCCTGCTCACTGTCCCTCTGACACACATCTAAATTCTGTCATGGGAAGATGATCAGAGCATCTCTGGAAGTGACGTAAGATGAGACTGAAATTGTGTTGCAAGGAACTGGATAAAAGCAGGAAGAAAAGACACTTCTTCCCCTTGGGTACTGGAAAAACTTGTGAAACCTTTTAGACTATTTGCCTCAGGGGAAAACGAGGAGAAAGAACACATCCAATTCCATGTCTGGCTTCAGTTCTGCTCCCAACATTACATGTAATGCAGGGTCTTACAGGGAAACTGGAACTGACTTTCCAAACAGATTAGAACAATCCTGTATATTCATGCAGTTCAGCCTTCCCTTTCCAACAGTGTGGTGTGGGCAGGACTCTGAACTGCTGCGGGCTCTCCTGGAGGCCTAGAACACAGTATCAGAACCATTTGTTATTTCTCTGGGGTTTCTCCCCTTCAGCTGTGCCTCACCACTTGGTGCTGCAGCAGAGCCCTGGGGCTGGCCCTGACCCTCACTCTCACCACTGCTCCCAGGACACTGCTCCTGGGATGGCCACCGAGCCGGTGGGACTGAGTGAAACCACCCCATGTTAGTGAAGCTAAAGTCAGTGATGACATTATTTATTGCTAAAGCAGCTGAGTAACTCGTAGGAGGCTCCATTTCCCAATGTTCATGTCTTAGAGCCACATGGGGTTTCTCCAGCCTTTTATTCTGACCCAAAGGAGCACTCCAGAACAGAAAAATACACTCTAATAAGCAACACAAGAGATCACAGATCCCAGCCAGCTCAGAAATACCCAGAACGTGTGTGCCACGTGCAGATCTGTTAAAGGCAACAGCTAATGCCAACTCTGTTACAGGAAAAGCTGCAGCCAAGCAGGCCAATTTTCTGCCAGGGCCTAGTGGAGCTGCCACGCTCGCTCGTGGAAGTGCGTGGCCTGAGGGGCAGCAGGAGGGAACCGCCTCCTGGGTATGGGCAGGAGCAGAGTGCAGCGCCCTCCCATACTCAGCCTCCTTGGGGCACTGACACATCTGCTCCCGAGGCCCATAGGGGCTCCCTTTCCCCTCAGAGATCTGTGAGAGGTGTTAAGAGCAGAACTTGCCATGTACTGCTTTTGCCCAGGCACCGCCCAAAGCTGTGCTGACGGGTCTTGTGAGCCACAGCACAGCAATGGGCTGGGCAGGTTGTACAGTCCAAAGTGCCTATTACTAATCAACCACAACCACTGTCCAAGTACCACAGGGATACAAACACAGGCACTGTGAGTTACCTGACAGAATCAGTCAGAAAGCTAGTGTGGATTTTTGTGTCAAAGATCAATTCACACACTTCAAATACATAAGATAAGTCAACAAATAGGGGAGGCACTCCATTCTTACAGAATACACTGAGATTCTCAGTTTCACAGCTGCTCCCAGAATGTACAACTGGAAACAAATGTATGCACAGAAATAACCTGCTGTGATCTCCTGCCAACCTGCTTCTACCTGAGCAGCACCACATCTGTTACTGGTGGAAAATTCATGTGTCTACTGAAACTATGCTGCTTTCAACTCTGTGCATTCACACGAGGACACATTCCACTGAGGTGTGGGGGACACAATATGGGCAAAGAAGTGATATCTCTGTTTCTCCAGCCTGCCACAGAGCATGGCCCTGCCCGTGAACTGGCTGTGGGAGTCCATACAGCCCCCATTGGTCCTGAGGAGACAGGCCCAAAAAGGCCCCCCACTGTGATCTGGACAACAGCACTGCAATGGGAAGAGACAGGACTCAAAGCATCTGCCTCCTGTAGACTGCCACGTGAACCCTGTACAGGCTGCTGGGAAAGTAGCTACGAAGGACAAAGGTGTCCCAAAACTAGGATCTGGTCTCTGTGGCTGAGATCAACCAGGCAAGAATCTAATCATGAAGGCAAATAAGGCATTCAAGGTATGATGTGAGTAAAAACGTGCCAGCTGCAGCAGAGATACTATATGGGTTTGTGTAAGTGCAAAGGTAAGAGGCAGAAAAAAACCCAAGTCTTTACACATAATTTTTACATCAACGTAATATTTGTCAAGTCTTCAGGTGGTACTGGAAACCCTCACATAAAAACTCCCACGCTGTGACCCACGGGCACATGGAGGCTATGCATGACAGGGAAATTCCATCAAAACAAATTACTTAAACAAAACTGGTGTCAATCTGCCACTTACAACCATTAGTCTGGGTTAAATTAATCCTTGGTGTAATCTGCTTTCCAATACAATGAAGGTTACTCTGTATGAATATGTTCCATATAGCTGTCCTGATCCCTATGCAGTGCCCAAACTTCTGAGCTTCATCCGTGTGAGGCCTCCGGAGCCATCTGTTTGCGATACACGTAATGAGCAACAGACCCGAACCATCAGAAGCTGGCACACTCCAGGTGCTGTTCAGTCTTTGGGATCTGACTTACCATAACCACCTTAACTGAGTTTATGTTTCAGAACTTTAAATGGAGCCATCGGTTCTTGGTGTGTTCCCTGGTGACCCTCACTGCTCAAACTCAGTGGATTGCTATTGAACAGTCTGAAGTCAGTAACCATGTTATTCCAGAATTCCATTCCTCAACGCTTCACTCCTCTCCAGAGAAAGCCGCTGAAGATCCTTCCAAATATCAGGATGATCCTCCAGCTCTTCATATAATGATCTAACAATGTCCAGTTTCCTGTAGTCCTCCGGGCTGACCAGACTGCGCACGACCTGCAGACATCTCTCCTTCAGGGTGAACACTGGGGTCAAACAAAACACAGCTTCGTCACGAGGGCTCTCAGCTGCTGCTCCAACGCCCACAGTGCAGCTCTGAGCACATGAACACAGAGCACAGCCCGCAGCAGTGTCACCCACCACAGGCTGGGCTCCCCAGAGAGGGGGGGACGTGCTTCCTGCCATGAGGCACCTATGAAACCCCTCAGAGACCCTTTACAGGAGAGGTGTGCCCCTACCTCTATCCAGCACCACAGCTCTACCTGGAATCCCTCACCACCTCTTCCTGTGTCTGAGCAGGTTTACTTCTGATTTCTCACTCATCTTTACACTGAAGTTCAGAGAGACTAAGTTCAGAATTCCCCAGGGCACATGCAGTGCTGTCCCTTACCTGGCAGTGTGATGTCAGCTTTGGTCACGTTGGGGGCTGCCACAAACAGCTCCTGCTGGTTGACAAGGAGCCCATCGTTGGTCCCTGCATCCCGGAACAGCCAGAGGTGCCCTGAGAGGGAACAAGGTGGGAATGCAGCAGTTATGGCACTTCGAGCAGCTCTGAGGGGCACCCGCGAAGGACGGAGCTGTATCTGTGAGGGACCGAGCTGCTCTCCAGCTGAGCTCCCTGTTCACAGGCCCTGGTCACTGGCGTGAACCGGGAGGGGAAAGGGAAAAGGAAAAAAAGAAAAGGTGATGGAAGGAAAAAGAAAAGGAAAAAAAGAACAGGAAAAAAAGGAAGGGAAACATGAAAAGGAAAAAAGGAGAGAGGGAAAAGCGAAAAGAGGAAAAGGAGAAAAAAAAAAAGAAAAAGAAGAAAATGGTGAATCCCACCGCTACCTTCTCAACCACCCGGGCCCCGCGACGCCCCCGTCCGTCCCATCCCGTCCCGCCGCACCCACCGCGGTAGCTGCGCATGACGCGCCCGGTGCGCGGCTGCAGGACCGGGTAGGGGCGCGGCCGGCCCTCGAAGTCCAGCCAGACGGGCAGCACCCAGCGGGGGCTGTGGTTGTTGAAGACGACCTCGGAGGCCTCCCGTGTGTTCACGGAGCGCAGCGCAGCCCCCGGGCCGCCCGGGCCGCCCAGGGCCCTCGGCAGCAGCGGCGGCGACAGCGGCGGCGCCATCGCAGCCCGGCCGCCATGCCAGCCCCGCCCCCGGCGCGCGGCCCCGCCCCCGGCACGCGGCCCCGCCCCCGGCACGCGGCCCCGCCCCCGGCGCCTGCGCGCGGCCGGGCCGAGGGGGGCGGGGCCTGCCGTGAGGGGAGCCCCGGGGGCGGGAACGGCGCTGCCCCTCAGGGCCCCTCTCCCCAAATACACCGAACAGCGGCAGGGTTTGCCACACCCTTCCTCACCCAAGAGTGGTGAACGCTCTGTCAACCAGCTCTCGTGCCTTATCCGCCAGCCTCAGTTCACAGCTCTTCTGTCTAAGGCTCACCAGTGCTGCCATAACACTAATTCTTCTGCCAATTCACTCCTCTCCTGATCTCTGAGTGTCAAAACAGTCCTTTATCCTTCAGCTGGAGCTTCCCAATCACCATACGGTATTCTCTTTGGCTCATGCACATGAAAGTAGTAAAACTAAAGGAAAAATTAAGTTACTGGATTAGATACTGGGAAGAAATTGTTCCCTGTGAGGCACAGGCTGCCCAAAGAAGCTGTGGCTGCCCCATCCCTGGGAGCGTCCAAGGCCAGGCTGGACCTGGGCTAGTGGAAGGTGTCCCTGCCCATGGCAGGGGGTCCCTTCCAACCCAAACCCTTCATTTTGCTGTCTCAAGTATGTGATAACACATACCTCTCCATACACAGCGCTTTACAGAACCGCAGAATGCTCTGGGTTGGAAGGCATGTTAAGGATCATCTCTTTCCAGCCCCCCTACCCTGGGTAGGGATGAAGTGAACAAAGGCAGTTTAAGCATATTCTTCTCCACAGTCACAGCAAATTACAGTGCTAAAAGCATAAAGACAGTCCCTTTTCCTCGTATGTCTCAACACCTCTTAGCAGGTTTTTCTTTTAGAATACTCAACATTCTCCAACAAGACTTAGATGAGGGATCCTTTTCTAATTTCTGCCCCTCTAGCAGCCTGTAAGGGAGAAGTGTGTGGGTTGTTAGAGAACGACACAAGAGAAATCATCACCTGTCAATTAGATTTTTTCCCAATAGAGCTGGAGGTGTCAGAACTGCCAGGCAGGCTGGTTTGATAGCCCTTGTGGAAAAGGAGTTCCTTCTCCTCGTGTTCCTTCTACAAGAGGAAAACAGCAAATTCACATCATGGAAGGAGCACATAGTTCAGATCCTGATACTGTGAAGCAGCTGTGAGCAGCATTGTGGGATTACACAGCATATATATATATATATATATATATACACAATGAGGCTGACTGTCCTAACTGAAAAAAGCTGCTATTCCTCAGTGTCTGGTGCCAATCTTCCATAAAACCAGAATTGTGGGCTTTAACAGCAACTGCTTCAAACCGTCCAACTCAAAAACACATTTGTAAAAGAGCAGAGCTCTTACTGTACATAATCTCTTTCCTATATTCTTAAATCTGGACACAAACCAAAAAAGAACACAATTAAGAGTCATCTCTTATGCAAAACTTCTAAAACTTTTAATACTTGTTAATTCACCTCTGAACACTTACAAGTACTTAGCATGAATACACTATAATGAAAAGGGAAAACTAATAATGTGTTTTCAGCCTCTGTTGAGCAGAGTAAGAAGCCTGAGAAATCACAGTATGTTTAGAGAAGAAAAATTACTTGCAACTTCAAGTTAGTCGACAGGGAATATATTTTTGTAAATACTGTGGCAGCATGACTATGACAGTTAAATCACCTAAGACATTCAAACACTGCCACTTTGATATGTCTAGGGTAGACACCAGAAACATGAACTTATTAACATAGCTGCTAAAAGTATCTTTGTTCTCAAATAGTAATGACAGATGGTTTGCTAAGGCCACGTGAGTCACCCCCTTAGCCAAGACAGTGGAAGACTAAAATATGGATTAGACATTTACTGATATTTAGCACTAAGGTGAGGTAACAGGCAAGAGAACCAGTAGCACAGCATATGGTTTACCAATTGGAATTTGCTTATCAGACCATAAAAACCAGATACTGTTTTATTTTCTTGGTTTACATTTGAGCAATGGTATAAATTAAAAAACTTCAATATGGAAAAATCCCACATTAGAGAAATACTACCTCTGAACCCTTCAAGGTGACAGTCTTAGTAGTCCTGTAGTCATTTTAAGGTACACATTAAGATTTCTACAGTTTGGTAAATAATTAACTGTTACCTTGGGAGCTGCCTCAACATGTTTTCTACTGTAAGCAGAGGAATAAACATTTAACTGAAAAATATAGAAGACTCAGGCCATGTAAAGCATTACTAATCCCACGGCTGAATTTCAGTTTGGGTGGCAAGGAGGAGAGGTGATTTAAATAAGTTTTCAGAACACACAGTACAACTGGCAGCTCTCAAGTTGATCCCTGGTTTAATATTCGTGTGACACAATTTCTGCTTAAGTTGTTCGGGTTTGGAACTGACAGACCCAAGCTCTGTGGTGTCTGCTTTACCAAATGGCCATTAAACAAATTCTGGAGGTGTGTCTTCTTCCATGCAGTTTACCAGAAGGACCTTCTCTCTTCTGCTCTCTCCCAGGTGCGCCTCAGCAGATACACTGCAGCGTGGAGTCCCCCCACGTTCACCCACACAGTCTGAGCTCTGCGCCAGATGTGTCCCACCCTTGACAAGGCCTGCAAGCCAAAACCAGCCAGGGAGCAGCGTTAAGACAGTAACATTATTTTTTATTATTCTAAATCACATCTGATGGCAATGTCAAGGGACTTTTCATGCCCAGAAGTGCATTTAGATGTTAGTAATTTTTGCTCAATAAATAGAACATCTGTAAGGATGACAGCTTACAAATTTTTTCTCAATACATTTTCAAGTGTAAATAGGTTTGATTTTCTCCCACAGAACATACCTTGGCAAAGCATTTCTTGTCCTGGGTAAGCAGCACAGCCCTGCCTGTCCCCGGGGTGCAGATCCGGCCCATCTCCATCAGACAAGCTGGGTAAAGATCCCAGTTCTTCTTCTTCGACCCTATCCTGCAAGATACATTCAGATGCCCTTTGTGATGACTGAAACCAGTTCACTGATGTTGGTCTCTCAGACAGGGATCAGCTCACTGAGGACCACAGTTACTGTTACTTTCAAGCTGTATTTTTACCACAGGGCCCATCACACCTTCCCAACTAGGCCCAGTTAAGTACCTGACTGGACAAAAGCCCAGGCCTGGCCAGGTGAGCCCATGCAGTTGTGGCAGCGAGGCACACCACCTTTCCAGCACTCCTCACCTCTTCCCAAAGGGCATGTCTGTCACTACAATGTCCACACAGCCAGTCCGCAGAGGCAGGTTGCAGATATCCCACTGGATGATGTCCAAGGGAACGCCCAGGGCAGTGCTGCTGCAAGGGCAAAGGCAGTTACCTCAGACACGAGCACTCAGAAGCTTTTTACACTGAGGAGATCTAGAATGTTGGCAGCAGAATAAACTGGAAAATATGAACTAGACACTCAAAAGCATCAATGCAAAGTGGATTTCTCTACATATAACACTGCAGGAAACAGAAATCCCCTGTGCTCTTCTCACCTGTCCTTACTCTCATTTTTCCTCAGTAAGGAGCAGACGTTGTTTGCTGCTCTCTTCACAGCCTGAGGATTATTATCCCCTGCAATGTGGTAGCAGCAGGGCCATTCCGCAGCTCCCTAGGGGAGAATTGATAATAAGCAACATTAGCATCAACACTGCTTGACTGAAAACACAACAAACAGAAGAATTACTCAAACATGACAAAATACAACAAAGCAACTGCAAGTGGACAGCAAGGAATCTACAGTTCTGTAACAGAGAGCTGTTACAGGTATTATGCACCTTTAAGGCTCAAAATACTTTTGGATTTAGTTTCTTCCTGCTACAGCCTAGAGAAGAAAATGGTCACTTACAAAAAGTGTATTTGTATCTGTTCAAAAGCTGGTGAGACTGGACCTTGCTATTCAGTCATTACCAAGAAGATTTACACACATTACTGAGTTGCAGATACTGTTAAGTTTAATTAAGTTTAAAAAATCACAGAAGAATCACCTCTATTGGTATTGCACCTGTACCACACATGGGATCAACTATGATATCCGTGGGCTGGGGATCACAGAGTCTGAAGGACAGAAGAAAAGATATGGTGAGAAAAGCCAAGAAAATCTGAATTCCTCTAAGGAAGGGAAAGTGAACTACTTTAACAATTCTGATTCTACCCTTCTAACAAAAAAATGTTGTGATTATTTTTTCAATATGTTAATTACCATTTTATAAACAGCAATACAATGAAATTCTTTCACAAATGTGATACGCTATTTTGAAACTAGGCTAATGCAGCAAAGATTTATTTTCCTTGTCTGGGAAACAGCCACTGTAACTACAAAGCACGCCATGTCAGCAACTCTGCTTTTTAAATTTTTTTTTCAAGAATTAACAGAAATGGCTTCTGAGGAAGCAGTAGGGGGATAAAGGGTCTAATTTCTGAAACAAAAGGACTCATTAACTGAGTATAATAGTATGAGTATGAGTATGCCCTGACCTGAGCATGCCGTAAGCCAGAGTCGAACGCAGCGTTGTGGGTCCGAAGTGTGTGATATTCCGTCTGTGAAGACTCTCTTCAGTTAACGCAATCCCCACCACCACTTCATTGTTGTGAATATTCAGAAGAACCTAAAGAAAAAACCTGAACTGAATTTCAGGAGTTTCCATAGTATGCCTGGTAAATACTTATGGGAAGTTATATGGCAATTTAAAAACCAGGAACGATGTATAAAAGAGCTTTTCTTCTTGTAGGAAAAGCAAAGCCCAATTTTTATAACCATAAAGGACAGAACTTGGGAGAGCATTCACATATTCTCTGTTACACAGAATCTTTTAAATGAGACTTCCCAAAGTGCTATAACAATTACACTGGCTTCCTAAAAGCTTTAGTTTGTAAGTTTGGAGGAGAAGCCAAGTAAGTCCTGCAAGTCACAGTGAAGTATCTGCAAAGCAGCAATAAAATTCACATTTGTGGTGGAGACCGTATTAGCATCTTGCTCC